ATGGACCCAGCTGTCCGTTCAGGTTCTGGAGACGCCTCAGCTGGTTCCTGATGGACCCAGCTGTCCATTCTGGTTCTGGTCTGGTTGGACACCCGTCAGACTTGCGACGTGTTCCGGCGTTTCCTCGTGTTCACGAGGCCGTCTGCTTCCGTGTTTGACAGACAGCTCGAGCCTCGCTCTGCGTCCGACATCATCCGACATCACAGCTGGCACCGATGATGTCATCAACCAGAGACGGTTCGGGTGAAAACTGGGTCAGGATTCTCCGTGAACACGAGACACACTGACCACCTGAAGCTTCTCTGTTTCAGACGCGTCATCTGACGAATGAAACGCGTCAAACTGAAGAACATTTGGTCTCGAGTTGGTTCAAGTGATTCTGATGCTTTGGTTCATTGAAGCTCTCTGCCCGGCACAGAGCCATGATTAATGACGGATTAATGACTGATTATTGATTGATTAATAACGTCCACCGGCAGCTGACTGACAGAACCTCGGCTCTGTTGTGAAACGGTGAGCTGGCGCCTCTAGCCCCTGATGACACACACCTGGAGGCTGCTGACTCAGCATTCCTCAGCCTGACGCCACGTCGGGTCGATCCTGACGCCGAACTGCGGCGAGACCGGTTCTGGGTTTAAGTCCCGGCCGGTCCAGAGCCAAACACGAGAGAGAAAGCTGAATGGGTTTTTCCTCCAGCATGAGGAGCCTCAGCTGGGATTTATAAAAAAAAATGTTTAAAACAGCTGTTCAGTCACGAAAGGCCCGACTTCCTGTGACCCGTTTCAACTCTGAGCGGTGGTTCTGCTGTCGATCCAAACTGGACCGGGTTCTTCCAAACCACGACAGATATCTGAACGTCCTGATTCTGCTCTTTTCTTTAAACATTTTGTTTCTCGTTTCATTTTTGCGATTCCTCCCACTGTTGGGATCATTATGAACGCCGAGTCAGCATTTATCGTTTTCTTCGGCTTGTTTTTCCGGCTTCTGATAACTTCAACAAGCAGTTTTAGCTGTTCACACGCCGAAACCTTCGGCTCCTTCAGGAGATGGGTGCTGACTTTTTGTATTTGGAACTTTTATATTATTTGAAATGATTAACTTTACATGACGTTGTTGGTTTCATTGGAAGAAACATACCTGACGTGTGTGTGTGTGTGTGTGTGTGTGCGTGCGCAGGTGAAGGTGTGGTTTCAGAACCGCAGGACGAAGCACAAGCGACAGAAGTTGGAGGAAGAGTCTCCTGAAGCTCAGCAGAAGAGGAAGGGAAGTCAACATGTGAGCCGCTGGAGAGCCGCCACGCAGCAGCCGGGAGGAGAAGACGTGGACGTCATCAGTGATGACTAGACACACGCACACACATGTGCACACACACGCACACACATGCACACACGCACACATGCGCACACAGCTGATGGCTGATGTTCTCGAGGACTGACTGAGGAGAAATGACTTCCTGTTCCAGACTGGTTTTAAAAAGAGGAAGAGAGGATTGTTTTTCAAAATAAAAGAGGAAACTTCCTGTCAGATCTGGACTGATGAGGATCCAACGGGTCTCAGAGGCTGGACACTGGTTTCGGTACCAAACGGTCCTGAAAGACACAGAATATAAAAACCGATGAACTGCAGGTTTCTGAACCGGCTCGGTTCCACAAACGAGAGGATCGTTCCTCAGAGATCCTCAGAGGTTCTTCTTCTTCACACGCACACATAAAATAAAAAATCTCCAGAATCTTGTAAAGGTTTCCTGCAGACGGACAGAAGGAGGAAGGTGTTGGTGCCGATTCATCCAGAACCTGGATCAGTTCTCACTGAAAACAGAAATTAATTTTTATTCATTTTCTGGAAAAAAAAAAATCTGTTTGAAAAATCTTTGTTCCCATGACGGTTAATGAACCACAGAAATGAAGGTGAACTTTGGATTTAATCACCTGGTCTGGATCACTTGGTTTGGATCATCTGGTCTGGATCACCTGGTCTGGATCATCTGGTCTGGATCATCTGGTCTGGATGACCTGGTCTGGATCAGCTGGTCTGGATCACCCAGCCTGAATCACTCAGTCTGGATCCGATCAACCAGCAGGGGCGCGTCAGAGGAAGTCACATGACTGATCATGTGACTCGTGTCTTCTTTCAGCGATTTAACACGACTAATATTTATTTTTTCCGACGTTCTGCTGGTTTTATTTGGTTTCTTGGTGAGGTGGTTTGGATCCTTTGGTCTGGATAGGTCCGGGTTGTGGACCCGGTAGTTGAACCGGGACGTCAGATTCATTTAGTTATTTTTATCTTTTCTTAGAACCACATTTTCCCAGCATGAACAACTTAACATCAAACAGCTTCCATGATCTGATCTACACAGGCTCAGATATTTACATACACCCCACAGCTCGTCTCACCTGGACCTCAGGTGTTTGTCAGGTTCTGGCAGAACTCTGGCTGAATTTGGACCATTCTTCTTCTTCTTCTTCTTCTTGGCAGAACTGGTGGGGTTCCGTTAAACTGGTTGGTTTGCTGGTTTCAGACCCAACATATCAGGTTGATGTTGGGGATAGTGGTCCTGTTGGACCAGCAGGACCAGTCAGAATCCAGTTCTGATGATTTAACCAGTCAGAACGGATCAGGTTCCACCAATTCAAGAGGAAGTCAAAAAGTTTCTCTCAGTCCTCACTCTGTATTGATCAGTCCAATGATTTCATAAATAAATCCTCCAGCTGCAGTCAAAGATCACTAACAGGAAGTTAGGCCTTGTCAAAGTAAAAGCCCTTCAACACCACTGGTGGGTGTATGTATACATCTAAATCTGTGTGAGAGAGAAAAAAAAATTCAAATAAAATTTAAACTTGTTTTATTTATTTATATTTTATTTCTTATTTTTAATATTTTGAACCCCCCTGAAATAAAAATAAAAACAAAACACAATAAACCTGATGTTTCTGATGAATGGATGAAAACTTTATGAATAAATTCCAAAAAATATAAACATGTTTACTGACAAGTTAAAGCAAACATGTTTTTTTTTTAGTTTAAAATCTTTTAAAACATTATGATGGAATTAAAACAATTTTGAATTTGATTGATTTGAATCAGCACGTTTTTTAACTTTAAAACTCAGAAAGTCAATTTGTGACGTTTATTCTGTATTTTTTCTTTTAGTCATTTTTTCTAACTGATTTATTTTGTAGTAGTTAGTTTGGGAGCGAGTCGTTTGGAGGCAGAAGATCTTTGGATCCAAACCAGCTGATTAAAAAGGATTTGCACTGAAAACATAAATAAATAACAAACTTTTAAAATAAACTGTTATTTCCATCACATTTATTCACAAGAAACTTTAAACTGAGCAGAAAAGAAGGGAATTTTATTCTGATGTTGGTTGAAATACAATTTAATTTTTTTTTTTTTTTAATTAAAAAAACAACAACAACATATTAAACCTATTTTCAGTAAAAAAAAAAAAAAAAATCAAAACAAGACAAAAAAAACCTTTTTCTTCTCAGGGTTTTATTTTTTTTATTTATTTTGTGTGTGTGTGTGTGTCTGGATCCGAATCGAAACCGTTTTTAAATCTCAGATCTGTGGTCAGATTTTTTTCTGCCGCTTCACTAAAAGAAACTTTACAGGGGACTACTTTCTGCGGCGGAGGAATCGTGTTAGCAGAGTCACGTGTTTCTTATGGTAGAAAGACCAAATCATGTAATCAAACAGAAAAGCACCAAACTACTGCAGAAAATTCAGGTTTTTATTTTATTAAAAGCAGCAGCTGGACTGATCCCAGGTCAGTTTTGAGTTTTTTTGTGGCTTTTTTAGACGAAATGTAAAAAAAAAAAAAAACTGGATTAAAAAGTTTTCTATGCATCTGACGTGTAAATAATGATGAAAATATTAATATGACGACGACGTGTGGCCTGTTTGTTTTCTCTGGTCGGATTTACCTCATTACTTCCTGTAGCACCTCCTGTTCCTCCTCTTCCTCCTGCTCCTCTTCCCGTTCTAATGTTGGAGGAGAAAGAAAGAAAAAAACAGAACTTTTGTTTCTCCTGAACTCAGATAAAATAAAATAGGAAAAGTTAAACGTTTTTTTAATTTTAAATCTGCTGAAAATAATTTTTCAGTTTTCATTTCGTTTCAGTTTTAATTTAATTTTCTGCAAATTATTTTATATATATATAAAAAACGGATCAAATATTTGTTTTAAACTGAACTAAAGTCAAATTATTTACAGCCTGAAATTGCATCATTACACTTTTAGATTCAGTTTTTCAAAAGTTGAATCATCAAACTTTTGTGTTGCATAATTTATAATAATTTTCAAGCCTTAATAATTAATAGTTTAATGTAAAAAAACAGTCTTTAAAAATATCAAAAATAATTCAGTAAGTTAAATAAATTGAAAATTTTAGATAATCTTAAAACAGTTTTGTTAAATGAACAATTATTTATTTTTTGCTTTTATTTGAGTAGATACGATTTTTCAAGTTATTCTTTTTACTCTAAAAGTTTGAAATAATAAATCTGTGTTTTATTTAACTCTTATTTATTGATCAATGTAATGAAATGGATACAAATAAATTTTAGGAATTTTCAACAAAATATTTTTCATAATAATGGAATAAAATAAAAACAATTTATATTCACAGATGAAAGTTTTGTTTATTAGATCTATTTTAATTATTTTAATTATTTTGAACATGTTATTTTTTTATCTGTAAGGAGTTATTGAGATAATCTGTTTAAATAATCAATACAAACAAACAAAGAGTTGACAGAGGACCACAGAACAGGTTCTCTTCCTTCAGACAGAAGCTGGTTTTGTGGTTTTGACCCGGCTCTGAGAGTCCAAGACCTGATCAGTGGTTCTAGAACAATTCATAGACCTATTTATAATAATAATAATAATAATAATAATTTTGAATCCAGTGGATTTACAACAGATCAGGCTCCAGGGCACAAACACAACTGTTCTCCTCTCAGCATGCTGAACCTGTCTTTAACACAAGTCTTGGTTTTACTCGATAAGGACAATACAATACATCACAATACAATTCAATACAATACATCACAATAC